TTTTTTCCGGTTTTTTAATTAACATTTCATTTTTTTTTTAATAAAATGTTGTTTGTTATTTTTTTACTTATTATTTCCCACCCCCCTTTTTTTCATAAATCTATAATTTTTCTTTGTTTTATTCTTCATTTTTAACTTATCTAATGAGTGCTGTTTACTTGGAGCTTAAGCGCAATAAATGAAACTTATTATTTTTCTTAACTTTCTTAGTGTTTTCTTGTATTTATTTATATATATATATATATATTTTTGTATGTATGTATGTAATTTTTGTTTGTTGCGTACCATAAAAGAATTATCTTTTTATTTTAACTGCTACAGCACTTTATTTTTGGATTTACGAATTTAATGTTTAACTCACTCCGTAGTTTCGAAATTTGGATCGAGACCTAAAAGACAAGCGAACTCTTGGATCAAGCATCAGGGCAATAACATTTGTGCTGGGTTTTTTGATTGAACAGGTCTGCATTTTCGTTACATAGTGATGAAACTCAAATGATTGTAAAATTGTGTAGAGGTCCCTCATTTATTGGTTGGAAGAAATAAAGAAAAGAAAAAAAGAAGTAAAAAAACATCAAAAGGAACCACCAGGAAATATCACATTGTTAGTAAAGTAATTATATGGATTTAACTGCTGCTAGAATTCAGGATGATGCATCAAAATTTAATCTAATTAAACATTGAAAGAAATGTTAGTATTTGAAAGATATTAGATACATTTTTAAAAAATTTAATTAATGCATAAGGATTAATTTAAAGTTTACGGATAAGAACTGCCCTCACTTCATGCTATTTGACAGACTTACTCTTCAGCAGCTTTAAAATTTTTCTAAATATTGATAATTACATTATTTTATAGGGATTTCTTCTTCTTCTATAGCTCTACAGCCCTTTGCGAACCCTAGCCTGTTTCACAATTCTATTCCATACAGTCCTCTGTTTTGACTTCTCTCTCCACCTACCGATCTAATATTGTACAAATAATATTTTTTCTACAAACTGCATTTTAAAAAATAAGTACTTTCTAACTTTTGCAAATTTTTTTATTTCGAAAATGTTAGATCACGTCGAATCAGTCTTTAAATTTACATAGTTTATGGAATGCTTTTTACGAGAACTTTTCTTACTAGTTCTTCTTTTCCAGTGCCTTTTTAGTGCATTTCTCTTTTTTTATTTCTTTTTTTTTTCCTTCCTCTCTTGTGATTCTTTTATGTTAGTTTTGTGCTTCAATTGTGTTAATCAGTATTCAAATTTGTCAAGACATCGAACAAACAAACCTACTTCTATTAATCCATTTTCACTGTCACACACTATTTTTATAAGACACCTGTGTATAGCAATGAGTTAAAAGGTAACTACTTTTTTCAAAATTTTAGTAGCATATCGAACTTGAAAGTTGTTTTAGTGACTTTACAAAAGTTTCATTTTGAGATAGCAAAAGTCCATGCAAAAAATAAACGATGTGACGAGAAATATAGGAAATACAGTCGAACCCCGCTATAGTGAATCTGGGATATAGTGAACACTCGAATGTAGTGAACTTTTTTAGCTGTCCCGTCCGTACTCCTATTTCAATAATGTTATTTTTAACGCTTATGGTGAACAGCTGAGAACTTGGAAACTCGGTTATAGTGGACTCAAATTTCATTTCTTCAAATATCTTTTTCAGTCCTCCATCTTTAAACTTGCAGATGTTGGGACAGAAAATGAATGCATTCCTATACAATGAGTCATATTTCACTCCTTTATGCTTATCACTTTTAACTATACTGTAATACATAAATGTTAAACAGAACATTTATCTTATATTCCCTCCTCCCTGACAAGCCTCTCTCTGTCCCTATTCCCCAAGCTTGCTCTACAACTAGTTAACTTGCCCACCTGCTGAATTTTCGTATCTATTCAAACCATATTCTTTACAAATCACCCCCTGACAATCAAGAAGGGGAACAATTTAAGTCGTTCTACGGTTGCTCTCTTCATATTCTTACATTATCCATTTGTGACAAGATTTTTATTTCAAAAGCAGTGAAAATGGCAAATTCTCTAAAGAGAGAAGCGTTTTCGATAGAGGACAAAGTTGAAATTGTAAGGCGTATTGAAGATGGAAACAATCAATACTGTATAAGGAATTTTCCTTGTCAAAATCTACAGTTTCGAACATTTGGAAAAATCGGAGGGCAATTCATGCCTCATACGACAAAAATATGATTTCGTCGAAAAAACTGCGTGGAGCTGAAAGAGAAAATATAGAAGAAGCTTTGTTAAAATGGTTCATCACTCAGCGAGATAGAATTCTTCCTGTGACCGGACCTATGCTTCAAATTAAAGCGAATGAGTTTGCTGAAAAATTAGAGGAAAAGGATTTTGTGTGCTCCAATGGATGGCTGAATAGATTAACAAAAAAACTTAAGTGTGGCCCTATACAGAGTGTCCAGAAACGACCGCATAAACTCTGCACAGCTGGATTCCTCGTTGGAAGTACATAAAAACTGCCCAAGGAAGCGTTCCTGTACGATCCATAGATTACGAGAAAAATACGAGAAACAAAGTATGACGTCACTGCCGGTGCAAGAAAAAACACTTTATTGAACATATCAACAGCAGTATACAATGCACAATTTAAATCAGATGTTCAAAGGGTCCGTTTTAAACATTATCGTCTGGAAAGATATGCAAATACTGTTGCTGATATGTCCAATAAAGTGTTCTTTTTTTTCCTCGCACCGACTGTGACGTCATACTTTGTTTTACGTATTTTTCTCGTAAATTATGGATCGCACAGGAACGCTTCTTTGGGCAGTTTTTATGTACTCCCAACGAGGAATCTAGCTGTGCAGAGTTTATGCGGTCGTTTCGGGACACCCTGTATTATACAGAATTATAAAGAGAAAGACATTTTTAATGCTGACGAAGCTGGACTATTTTACAAATTGATTCCCAATCACACGTAAAAATTTAAAGGACAAAAATGCACTAACTCTCCAAAGTGAGAATAACAGTTCCTGTTTGTTCTAACATGAACGGCTCGGAAAAGCGAAAATTAACTGTCATAGGTAAATCTCAAAAACCAAGGTGCTTTAATGCTTTAAAAAAAACTGCCCGTAAACTACAAAGCCAATCAAAAAGCGTGGATGGCCTCCTATTTTTTTGAAGAAGAATTTCGACAGTGGGACAGTGATATATTAATAGGAGACAATTAGTTATGCGTATTTTAGATAACTTTGATAAAAACAACATGGACTCAGAATGCAGCATCTCTCTTCTAGAAGCAATAGTTTTGATAGAAAAATCATGGAGGCAAGTAACATCAGCTACAATCCGCAACTGTTTCCGACATGCAGGTCTTTCAAAGGATTTAGAAGAAAAAGATTCCAATGTGGAGGAAGAAGAAGAGGAAGAAAGTTTGCTCATCTCTATATGGCTAAAGAGACACGGAATGGCCTTTTTCCCTAATGACGTTATTGAGCAATTTGAATGTTGCGATGATGAAGTATGCACTTCTGGTACTCCTACCGATGATGACATTGTCAATGAAATAAAACAAACGAACGAAGGTAGAGAAGATGTATTAGAAGAAAATGTTGAAGAAGAAAATGAACTTTCAGCACCATCTATAGCTGAAGTAAAATCAGCCATAAATGTCACTAATATGTTTTTTTTCTACAGAAAATGTAAATAAAAAAATCTTGCATTCTTTTCACATTGTAGATAAGAAAATTGATGAACTCTATTTAAAATAAAATTGTATCAAAATCAATCAAAAATCACAAATTGTTTTTCATTAAAAGTGAAATTAAAAGTAATTTTCAGCGACGTAAGTACTTTATTCATTAATTTTTGTTCTATTATCTCTTAATTAGTTAATAATTTTTTAAATAACTTATGTAAGATTGAAAAAAAACCAATTTTCAATCATTCAACTGTCTTATCCAAAAATTATTCTTCAAAAAACTTGGATATAGTGAACCATCGCTTATAGTGGACACATTACTGAGTCCGCAGACGGTTCACTATAGCGGGGTTTGACTGTATATAAAAAAAAGTTTTTTGAATTAAAAAAATTATTATTTGATGTGTTGTTATTTTCACACTCCGTAATCGTTCACATGCCTCTTCCTCACATGCCTTTCATGCATAGTGCTCCATGCCTCTTCCACTCATATACCACATGCGCACACACTTACAATAAATAAGATATATTTCCATACTCTAGAAATAATTCATATGGCAAAACCGGGTCAGATAGTAGCTATATAAAATTATTTTTAGAGTACGCTTGTGATAATTATTTCATAGTAATACGCTGATAAAATTATTAACATAAATTAAAATTGGAAACAACGCAAATATCTTCACATTAGTTCTAAAACTGATAACACATTTTAATTTTTACAAAAGACACATTACAAAAATACACGCAGCTTATGTACACAAAACATATATACAGATAAAACTCAGGTTTAGACTCGCCCTATCTTTCGAATAAAGTCCTCTTGTTGTTACAGAGTAGAGTATTTTCCCTCATAACTTATAAATACACACTAAAAACAGGCCATTTTTCTTTTGTTCTAGCCCTTTTCTTCTAAAATAATCCATTAAAAACTATGTTGCATTTAGAACGCAAGAAAATGCAGATAGAATACAGGTTTCTCGGATAAATAATGATCCGATATTGATCACCGATGATTCTTCACTTCTAATTCTTTCATTTCTTTTTCAGGCTTGGCATCAGTTTTTGACTTTTCTGTGGTTGTTCCCCATGATTGAAGTTCTGCAGATCCAAAACCTGCAAATATTGCTCCACAGACTGTATATACTCCGGCTGCCGTATAAAAGACATCACTCCAATTTGCAATAGTTTGCTAAAATAAGAAAATGAACTTGGTGTTATTACATAAGCAAAAATCAAAGTAGACAACGTAGTTCAAACGAAATATATCTCAGAATACCACAAGTCTTTAGAATGCATAAGAAAAAAATAACGTTAGAGAAAAACAAACAAAGATACTTTATAATACATTTTTTGACTATTTTTACGTAAACACGTAATCAGCCCTTAACCAGAGAGATGCCACTTAATTTACGTATTCTAGTTTTATTTTAAGACGCCGGGTGGCATCGCTTCGAGCTCTCGTGACACAGGTCCTAGGTTCAATCCTCGTTCCAGACAAGGACGACTCAGCCTTTCATCCCTTCGGTGGGTTGATGAAATGAGTACGAAGCAGGATTGGGGACTAAACACTGGGGGTTTCGCGCTCAGTTGACCACCCAACTGGAACATATGCTCCAGCACTTCAGAGCCGAAGGTCAAGAAAACTATGCCCTAAGTCACAGTAGGCCTTGTTCTTCTATGGGCGGTCGCGCCACTGAGTTCAATTTAGTTTAGTTATGCTCTAAATTAATTCAAATTTATTGAAAGTCAATTTGCTAAACTCTGTTTATAAATAATTAAAAAGCATATCTAAGTCGCAATTTTGAGCGTTTTAATCTTAGCATTCGTAAGAGCCTCTCAGAAATCACACTGACTCATCACACTGACTAAATTACTCGTCACTGTAAATGTTTTAATTTTCCACACGTTTAGATGGCTCTTTATCTATTTTTTAGGTACTATATAAGTATGCAAACGCCGATTTTTATCTCTTAGAGTATTAATGGTTGCGTCTTTTTTNTTTTTTTTTTTTTTTTTTTTTTTTTTTTTTTTTTTTTTTTAAAGAATTTTCATTGTTGCTTAACCCAGAACCGTTTTTCTAGCAGGTTTTAGATCCCTACCTCCTTATAAAATCTGTTGGCAGGAAATGGAACAGTTGGAATTCTTACATTACACCGATAAGGTGAGTTATTTATTTAATGGCAATGTTTCATGCTGAGTGTGTATGTGAGTTTATAGACAGTCGGTCTGCTTCTTCAAACTCAAGTCATTAAGTCGGATTTCTTAACTAAATTTAGCTTTTAGCGAGGCCGAATCTACGGTTCACAATTGGTATTTTAAAATTTTTTATAACCGGCGTTGAACAACTGACCCAATTTCTGAGTTTACGACTATCAATGTACTTACTCTGTACCTTTGTAGTTTTGAATCCAACCCAGACAAATGAAATCATGGATCAAGCATGGGACAAACTACCCTTCGTGGGGGACTTTCTGATGGAACTAAACAGCATATGCGTTATATCGAGATTAAAACAGCGAAAACCTTCCAAGAATATCCCGAAGTCAAAGGGAATATAACCTTCTATCCGTCTACAACTGACGATATTTTATGTCAGAACTGTGAGCCAGTAGCAGAATTAGCATAGTTCAGCCAGTTCGCTGAGATTCGAACCCGATACGATATTGGTTAATAGAAGAGGAAGGTGGATACCCGTTTATAGAACCTCTGCTGCTGTGCCTATAAATGTCGTTTTTTCCTTTATACACAGGGACCACAACTAACTTGTGGGACTAATTTACGTTTTAAAGAAAGCTAGACTTATTCCCCTTTGTATATTCTTTGGCTCTATCCCCTGACCCACCACGGCTAATGTATACTCAATTATTGTAAATTAACAAAGAACTTACCCCGTTTGAAGTGAAATAGCCGACAATGGCTGGTCCTATAATACCAGAGAAATTAGAAATGGCCATAGTTATAGCAAATGTTGTTCCTGAAAGAAAAGAGTGAATTTTATTAAAATAAAATAGTTACAATGGTCAAAATGTTCTTACATATATATATATATACATTG